ATAACATTAGTCTACAATTGTCTACTTTTTGAAGACCCAGTCATCTCATAAGCCACTCCAATGAAACTGCTCCTGTTAAGGACATTAATAACTTTAAAAATTTTATAATGAATATGTTTTAGTCTTATTCTTACTGGACCATTATGATATTTTTTTTGCACTGTTTACCTCTCCCATCCTCTTAAAACCTTTTCTTCCTTGGATGTTCCTGGTTTACCTTGAACATCTCTATTGTTTTCTGTTCTCTTTGTAGGTTTCCCTTACTTTTTCCACACTTAATATTTTGTGTTCCACAAATGTAATCTTTGAACCACAGCTTTTTGATGCTCTATACTATTCCTATATGACGATGGCTATAAAAGCTACATTTTCAGATCAAAGAAACCACTAGAGCTTCAGACTAATATATCCAAATTCATCTTGACTATCCCATTAGAATCTCAAATTCAACATATCTAAAACTAAATTTTCTATACTCTTCTCTAAATCTGTTCTCCTTTCATTTTCCTTATTTTAATGCCATTATCACCTGCCTGGTCACTCAAGCTAAGAACCTGAAAATTAATATATGATTATTTTGACTCTGTCACACCACAGACCCAGTGATTCTTATATCAATTTTACCTCACATATAGGTCTCAAATACATTCCCTCACCTTCACCTTGACCATTACTAAAATGCTACACTTCAGATCGTCATTGTCTCTTGTCTACACTGTAATAACAACATACCAATTAATTTTTCTACTTCCAGTTTGTTTATTACCTTAGATAACAACAATTATTTCTTTGTACTAAACACATAAAATATATGTTAAATAAAACATTGGTTTTCCAGGGGAAAATTTACTATAAGTTTTGATTACTGTAATTTTAAATACGTATATAAATATTAGGCAACATTGTCTTTAGGGTGATGAGGAAGGCACTATTACTTTGTGCTTTGTCTGTTGTATTCATTGCCTTTTAAATAAGAAATGGTGGGATTTCAGTCAAGTTGGCAGAGTAGATGGAAGTTGCACTCACCTACTCTCATGATCACATCAAAATTACAACTAAATTATAGAATAATCAAACTGTATAATCACCTGAAGACTATGTGAACAGAAGTCCTATAACTAAGGGTATAAAGAATAAGCCACATGGAGACTAATAGGAGGGGTGGAGATGTGGAAGCAGGCTGGACCCACACCCATATGTGGTGGTTCAAAATTGGGAGGGATATTGCAGCTGCAGAGTTTCCACTTGAGGAGCGAGGGGTGTAAACCCCACATTAAGCTCCTCAGCTAAAAACACCAGTGATGGAAAGAGAAGCCCAGATAACATCTGGCTGTTAAAATCAGTGGATCAATAAGGACTCCACCTCTCTGGGTGAGACAGAGGCTGCTGGAAACCCAGATGTCCTCTTAAAAAGCTAGCACACAAACTTTCATTTTCAGGCTCTGGGCTGTGGCAAAGGAACTATGGCTCAGGATGGGGAGGGGGTCATCAGAAGCATATAGGAAGAGACTGAGTTGTATGGCTTTGGGACAAGGAATTGAGGAACAACCACCAATGTCTCTGTGTTCAGTGGTACGCCCACATGGCCAAATCTGAATCTATATTATCCTGGTGAACTCCACTAGCTCTACCCTGATGATTCCCTGAGACCACTCCCTACCCAATTTCCACATGGCTCAAGGCTGTCTCAGCACCAACTAGCCTGGGCCCACACTACAGTCTTTATTAATAAACTTTTTGAAGAATTCTAGTCAAGCTCTAGAGATGACAGAGAGAAACTGAATTATGTAGCTTCGGGACAAGGGCCATCTTCCCACAGGAGTTATAACAGGAGCTACTATTCCTGTTATGAGCCTTCACCCCACATGGCCAAATCTTAATCTGCATTAGCCTGGTGAATTCTACTAGCTCCAACCTGCTGACTTCCTGAGACCCCTCTTTACGGAAAAGGTCTGCAGGCCCCAGGCAGGTGGAAGCTGTCCTCAGTGTACCTGAGACTTTTGCTGAGTAGCCTCCAGCTCACCACAAGCATTGAACCTGAATCTGTATTAACCTGGTGAATATCAGCCTCCCTACACTATTGATTACTCAAGACCCTGCTTCACACAACTCATGTATGAGCCAAGGCTCTTTTAGTAGACGAGCTTAACAAGGAGCTGGCAGGTTATGGCAGCTCTCAGGGTGCATGGGCCTTTTACTTACCTACCCAGGGCCTAGTACTAATGATAGCCAGCTTCTGTTTGCAGCTTGGCCCCTCCAGAGGCAGTTATCAATTGTAGATAAATTTGTAGCTCATAACAGGTAGCTCTCAGATGGTAAAGACAGTGAATGACATTGACCTGCACTGGAGTCCCTCCCAAGGGACCCCATAATCAACACACCAGGTGGCTGGATTCAGGCCACAATAGACCATCACCAAGTGGCCCACCCTAAGAGAGATCTTGGCAAACACTAGACTCCACTTCATGGTATCAGCCTCTGCACAGCAGCTCATTTGCTATGGTTGTGACCAATACTCACAGCCATCTACTAACCTGAGGGTCAATCCTACCCACTAATGTGCTAACAGCAATCAATGCTCAACTACTACAGTAAGGCATACACAACGAATACAAAGGGCACTCCTGGAGCATCTGGCTCAGGTGATTAAGAATATTGCACCAAGGGGACCCAGAGGACATCTATTACATAAGGCTACCCTGCCAAACAGGGAGATGTAGCAGATCTTCCTAATACAGATAAATACACAGAGAGGTAGCAAAATGGGGAGACAAGGAAAGCTTTTCCCAAATGAAAGAAGAGGAAAGGATCTTGAGAAAAAGAATTCAATGAAATGGAGGCAAGCAAACTACTGGATTCAGAGTTCAAAACACTGGTTATAACGATGCTTAAGAAATTTAGGCAAAGAATAGGTGACATCAGTGAGTACTTCAGACAAAGGAAAGTAGGCATAGAGGATATAGAGACATAGAACCCTCTCCCCCCAAAAAGTAAGAAATTAAGAATGTAATAACTGAAATGAAGGCACATTAGAAGGAATCAACAGTAGATTAAATGAAGCAGAGGATAGAATCCATGATTTGGAAAAAGAGGTAGCAAAAAACACCCAATCAGAACAGGAAAAAAAAATCCAAAGCAATGAGAGAATTTTGAATGGACTCTGGAACAAAATCAAGTGGAATAACACTCACATCATAGGAGTACCAGAAGGAGAAGAGAGAGAGCAAGAGATTGAGAGCTTATTTGAAAAAATAATGACTTAAAAACTTCCCTAACCTTGTGAAGAAAAAAACACACAAGTCCAGGCAGTGCAGAGAGTTCCAAGCAAGATAAACCCAAAGAGGCCCCCACCAAGACACATTATAATTAAAATGCTAATGGTTAAAGACAAAAACGAATCCTAAAAGCAGCAAGGGAAAAACAGTCACTTACAAGGGAGCTCCCATAAGAATTTCAACTGATATCTCAACAAAAGCTTTGCAGACCAGAAAGGATTGGCACAAAATATTCAAAATGATGAAAAGCAAAAAACCACAAGCCAGACTATTCTAACCATCAAAGCTTTTCTTTAAATTGAAGAAAAGATAAATACCTTCCCAGACAAGAAAAAGATTAAGGAGTTTATCAGCACCAAACTAGCATTACAAGAAATATTAAAGGGACTTTTTTAAGGGAAAAAAATAGGTGGGGGAGGAAAAGTAAATATCCTATCTAATAAAAGAGTAATATGCAAATTGACCATCACTCCAACACACAATATGGCCACCCCATGTGGTCAAAGATGGCTGCCTCCATGTGAACACAAGATGGCCTCCACAAGATGGCCGGCAGGGGAGGGCAGTTGTGAGCGATCAGGCCAGCAGGGGAGGGCAGTTGGGAGGGACCAGGCCTGAAAGGGAGGGCAGTTGGGGGGGGACCCAGGCCAGCAGGGGAGGGCAGTTAGGGGCAACTAGACTGGCAAGGGAGGGAAGTTTGGGGTTACCAGGCCAGCAGGGGAGGGCAGTTAGGGGTGACCAGCCTGGCAGGGGAGTGGTTAGGGGGTGATCAGGCTGGCAGGCAGAAGCAGTTAGGGACAATCAGGCAGGCAGGTAGGCAAGCGGTCCTGGATTGTGAGAGGGATGTCCAACTGCCCCTTTGAGGGGTCCCAGTTTGGAGAGGGTGCAGGCTGGGCTGAGGGACACACACTCTCCCCCCCTCCCGCCCCCCTCCTCCCCATGCATGAATTTCATGAACTGGACCTCTAGTAAATAATGAAATGTCAATAAATGCATATCTATCAATAATCATTTTAAATGAAAATGGATTAAATGATTAAATCAAAAGACATAGGGTAGCTGAATGGATAAGAAAACAAGACCCATATATATGCTGTCTACAAGACACTCACTTTGGATCAAAAGACACACACAGACCGAAAATAAAGAAATGGAACAAGCCCTAACCAGTTTGGCTCAGTGAATGGAGTGTCGGCCTACGGACTAAAGGGTCCCAGGTTCAATTCCGATCAAGAGCATGTACCTTGGTTGCAGGCACATCCCCGGTGGGGGGTGTGCAGGAGGCAGCTGATCAATGTTTCTCTCTTATCGATGTTTCTAACTCTCTATCCCTCTCCCTTCCTCTCTGTAAAAAATCAATAAAATATATTTTTTTAAAAAGAAATGGAACAAGATATTTTATGAAAATTGAAACAAACTAACCAACCAAAAGCTAGGTAGCAATCAGACAAAATTGCAAAACAAAAGCCATATTAAGAAACAAAGAGGACATTAGATCAGGATAACAGGATCAATCCAACGAGAGAATATAATCATTGTAAACATCTGAGTGCCCTAAATGGAAGCAACTAAATATGTAAAGCAAATACTGATGGACAAAAAGGGAAAGATAGACAGTAATGTAGTCATAGTAGGGGATTTTACCACTCCAAGACACCAATGGATAGCTTTTCCAGACACACACAAAAAATTAACAAGAAAATATGGCCTTAAATGACACATTACATCACTTCTCAGCCTTTTGGCTAAGATCAAGTGTAGTATCTGTTCTTATCAGTGTAATATCTGATATGTCCTCTATCTAAGAACAATATATTAAATGGATTTTTGGAGCAGGGAGATGGAATAGAAGCTTGCTCCATTCACTCCATGTATCAACCCAGTATTGCAGTACCTCTGGGAATGGTGAATCAAAAAAAAAAAAAAAAAGACACATTAAGCCAGACATTTTTAGAGCATTTCACCCCAAAGAAGCAGAATATACATTCTTCTCAAGTGCACATAAAACATTTTTCAGGATAGACAACATGTTAGGACACAAACAAGTGTCAATAAATTAAGAAGATTGAAATGACAAGACCACAATGATTTTAAACTAGAAATCAATTACAAGAGAAAATTTAAAAAAACACAGAGACTAAATAACACATTACTAAACATGAAGGGGTTAACAAGATCAAGAAAGAAATCAGCCAAGACCGGTTTGGCTCAGTGGATGGAGCGTCGGCCTGCGGACTGAAGGGTCCCAGGTTCGATTCCGGTCAAGGGCGTGTACCTTGGTTGCAGGCACATCCCCAGTGGGAGGTGTGCAGGAGGCAGCTGGTTGATGTTTCTCTTCATCTATGTTTCTGACTCTCTCTCTCCCTCCTTTCCTCTCTGTAAAAAATCAATAAAAATATATATAAAAAAGATTTAAAAAATAAAAATAAAAAAAATTTAAAAAAAGAAAGAAATCAAAAGTTACTGGGAGACAAATGAAAATGAAAATACAACAACCCAAAATCTATGAAACAGAGTGAAAGCAATTCAAAGAGAGAAATTATTAGCAATATAACCTCAAGACACAAGAAAAGCCTCAAATAAAGAATCTAACCTTACACCTAAAGGAACTAGAAGAACAATAAAAAACAAAGCCTAAATTTACTGGAAGGAAGGAAATAAAGATCAGAGAGAAAATAAAAGTCTTAAAAAAATTAATGAAACCAAGATCTGGGTCTTTGAAAAGATAAAGTTTCACCAACCTTTAATCAGACTTCTCAAGAAATCTGCTTCTTTGAGAAGATTCAACAATGTTTAACCAGATTTATCAGAGAGAGAGAGAGAGAGGATTAAAATAAATAAAATCACTGAGCCACACCAGCTGGGCTCAGTAAAAAAATGACAATGAGGTATCAACTCACACTTCTCAGAATAGGTACCATCAACAAATGACAAGTACTGGTGAGGATGTGGTGAAAAGGGAACCCTAGTACACTGCTGGTGGGAATGCAGACTGATGCAGCTATTATGGAAAACAGTATTGAGTTTCCTCAAAAAATTAAATATGGAACTTCCATTTCACCCAGTAATCCCACTTCTAGGGACATATCCTAAGAAACCCAAAACACCAATCAGAAAGAATATTTGCATCCTATTTTCATAGCAGCATTATTTACAATAGCTAAGATTTGGAAACAGCTCAAGTGCCCATCAGTAAATGAGTGGATAAAAATGCTGTGGTACATTTACACCATGGAACACTATGCAGCAATAAAAAAGAAGGCTCTCTTAGCCTTTGAGACAGCATGGAGTGACCTGGAGAGTGTTATGCTAAGCAAAGTATCACATGATCTGACTCATATGTGGAATCTAATGAACAAAATAAACTGATGAACAAAATTGATCCAGAGGCATAGAAGCATGGAACAGACTGTCAAATCTCAGAGAGAAGATGTGGGTGGGTGAGTGGGTGGGTGGGAAGAGATCAACCCATGAACTTATATGCATACATACAAAACCCATGGACACAGATAATAGTATGGCAAAGGACTGGGATTAGCCAGAAGAGGTCAAAGGGGATAAAAGAACATATGTAATATTTTAAAGAACAAAGATTTTTTAAAAATAAATAAAATCAGAAATGAAAGAGAAGTGTCAATTGACACTATGGCAATACAAAGAATTATATAAAAATACTGCAAATAATTATATTCCAATAAATTGGACAATCTGGAACAAATTGATAAATTTCTAGAAACATGATCTTCCAAGACTGAACAAAGAAGAAACAGAAAAATCAATCTCTACCAATGAAATGAAAGCAGTAATACAAAAAACTTCCAACAAACAAAAGTCCTAGACTGAATGAATTCATTGGTGAATTTTACAAAACATTTTCAGAAGAATTAACATTTATGCTTCTCAAACTGTTCCAAAAATTTGAAAAGGTGGAAAGGCTCCCAAGTTCACTTTCTGAGGCCCACATTATCCTGATTCCAAAATCAGACAAAGACATTATAATAAAAATTATAGGACAAAATTCCTGATGAACATATATGCAAAAATCCTCAACAACATATTAGCAAACAGAATTCAGTAATATATTAAAAATATCATGCACCATGATCAAGAAGGATTTATTCCTGAGAAGCAAGTTTGGTTCAATATCCACAAATCTATTAATGTGACACCACATAAACCAAATGAAGGATAAAAATTATATAATCATATCAATAAGTTCTCAAAATAATTTAACAAAATCCAACACCCATTTATGACAAAGACACTCAGTAAAGTGGAAATAGAGGGAACACACCTCTGTATAATAAAGGCTATATATGACAAACCCAAAGCTATATCATACTCAATGAAGAAAAGCTAAAATCATTTTTCTTAATAACAGGAACAAAACAAGGATGTACACACCACTTTTATTCAACATAATATTGGAAGTCCTGTAGTCCTAGCTATAGCATTCAGGCAAGGGAAAGAAATAAAAGTCATCTAAATTATAATGGAAGTAGTAAAACTTCATTATTTTCAGATGACATGGTACTGAATAGAGAACTCCAAAAAGATACCACCAAAAAACTACTAGAACTAATAAATAAATTTAGTAAAGTAGCAAGATACAAAATTAATATTTAAAAATTGATTGCATTTTAACAGCAATAATGAACTCTTAGAAAGAAAATTTAAGAAAAAAATACCAATTACAATTACATGAAAAACAAAATAAAATCCCTAGGAAGATATTCAATCAAGGAGGTAAAAGACCTGTACTTGGACCTAGCTGGTTTGGCTCAGTGGATAGATTGTCGGCCTGCAGACTGAAGGGTCCCAGGTTTGATTCTGGTCAAGGGCATATACCTTGGTTGTGGGCACATCCTCAGTAGGGGGTGTGCAGGAGGCAGCTGATTGATGTTTCTCTCTCATTGATGTTTCTAACTCTCTATCCCTCTTCCTTCCTCTCTGTAAAAAATCAATAAAATATATTTGGGAAAAAAAAAAAGACCTGTACTTGGAAAATTATGACATTAAAGAAAGAAACTGAAGAAGATACAAATAAGTGGGAAAAACACACATGTTTGAATAAGATGATTAACATTGTTAAAATGTCCATATCATCCAACGCAATCTATAGATTCAATGTGTTATCTATCAAAATACCAATGGCATTTTCCACAGAACTAGAATACTCCAAAAATTTATATGGAACCACAAAAGACCTCAAATACAGAAATCTTGAGAGGAAAAAACACACACACAAAGTCGGAGGTAACATGTTACCTGATATCTATACTAATAATAGACAAATATGGAAATTGTCCATCTGCAACGCCCACAGCCAATCAGGAGTGAGTATGCAAATTAATCCGACAAAGATGGCAGTCCTGTGGGCAGTGCACATGCGAGCAGGCGCCGAGTGGCCGGGGGTGAGGTGGGATGCCTGCCCTGATGTGGCGGGCATCCATGGGACCCCGTCCGTTCCAAGCCTGTGGCCAGTGTGTGTGTTCGCAGAGTAGCCAGGGTCCTGGGGACGCCACTGGAGTTTCCGGTCCTGTCAGCCGGGCCTGGCGGTAGCTAGAGTTGCCAGTCCTTTTGATTTCTGCAGCCCCTGGTCTGGAAACGGAAACCAAGAGCATGGGGGAGCACCAGGAATTCTGGGAATCGTAGTTCTGGTGTCAGACGCATTGTGGGATCTCCTAGACACTAGAACAAAGTGAGCATGGAGCAATTTACTGTTGCGGATGGGGGATGGAGGGAAATCAAAGGTGAGAGACATAAGTAAAGTCAGAGTGTCGAGGAATAATTAAAAGGAAGATATCCTGCAACTTCTAGGAAATCTCCACCAATGGAGCAAAGAAAAAAAAAAGCCTCTATTATTCAGTGAGCACCAAACCAAACTTGGTTGGGGTCTCAGACAATTTGCTTCTATGATTGTAAAGATAGACAGAAACTCCCGGATTGGAGAGGGCTCCCCTGAGGGCTCCCAGATTGGAGAAGGTGCAGGTCGGACTGAGGGACCCACCCCCCATGCACGGATTTTGTGCACTGGGCCCCTAGTCAAACTATAATACAACACTGTAATAATCAAAACAATATGGTTCTACAGAAAAACAGACACACAGGTCAATGGATGAGAATAGAGAGCCCAGAAATATACTCATATGGTCAATTAATATATGACATAGAAGGAAAGAACATACAATAGGGTAAAGACAGTCTATTCAATAAGTAGTGGTGGGAAAATTGAAAAGATACAAGAAAAAAATAAAACCAGACCACACTCTTACACCATACACAACATAAACTCATAATAGATTAAAGACTTAAATATATAATCTGAAACCATAAAATTCCATAGGCAGTGAGTTCTTTGGCATTGGTATTTTTTTAAAAAATACATTTTTATTGATTTCAGAGAGGAAGGGAAAGGGAGAAAGAGATAGAAACATTAATGATGAAAGAGAATCATTGATTGGCTGCCTCCTGCACACTCCCTACTGGGGAATCAAACCTGCAACCCAGGCATGTGCCCTGACCTGTGAATCAAACCATGACCTCCTGGTTTATGGGTAGATGCTCAACCACTGAGAAACACCAGCTGGGCCTTGACATTGCTCTTAGTAATAATATATATACATATATATATATATATATATATATATATATATATATATATAAAATCAGGAAGGAAAACAGAATAAAAATAAACAAATGGGACTACATCAAACTAAAAAGATTTTGAATAGCAAGGAAATCAACAAAACAAAAAGACAACCTACTGAATGGGGGAAGATATTCACTAATGACGTATCCAATAAGAGGATAATGTCCAAAATTTATAAAGAACTTTTACAACTCAGCACCAACCTCCCTCCAAACAATCTAATTAAAAAGTGGGCAGAGGACCTGAATAGACACTACTACAAAG